CAGAACTGCTGAAATGGTGCAACATTTTCTGAATGTCATCAACTCTTTCGTTCAATTTTTTAAACAATTCATTCTCTTTCGAGAAGAAATGGGCGTTTTCTTTCTGCCGGTCCGCAACATTCTCATCTCTTTTGGAAAGACTGTAATCGCCAGAAGTGTTAACTGAGGTATCTCTTCTGCTATAGAACTTTCTGCTGATAGAGTCATTGGGATCATCATTTACCTGCGAGCAAATTTTGAGTGTTGTTAAATTTTTTTAAGCATCATCAATATAAACAGATCAATTACATTCTTTTTATCTTTTCCGTGTTTCCTATTTAAAAAGTCTTTCAAAATATCAATCTCTTCTTTTAAGCTGTCATTTAAACTATTGAATAATGCTTCGACATCATCATCTCCGTGAATAACATTTGCATCTTTGGAAAAGTTATCTTTGAAATAAACAGGGTGAGGGTGTTTTGGTCGATATCCATTGCTCTTCTGGTCTGATTCTTGAGGCTTCCGTCGATTCGAATCTCCAACGTCATCGTTTGCTTTTATGTTGGTGGGGAGAGATGTGTCAGCGAAAGTGTTTGGAACTTGCCTTTCATCCTTTGGTTCAAAAATAATTTTTGTCTTTATGATTTTATGTCATTCTCATTTTAATAATTACGGCAAAATATTATAATGAAAACAAATAAAACTAAGTCAAAAATAAACTGTATGAAATTTAATTTTAAAATTGTTATGCAATTTAAATTGCAACTGACTTCAGTAAGTGATTTCAAAAGAGTGAATAATCTCGCTCTGTGCTGGCTATCAATGACATTCCCTGCAACTTTTCGTTCCAACAATGACCTGACTTCGTTTTTTAGCAATGAATTTTCTTCCTGAAACAAATTTGTTTAATAACAAATAATTTAAATTTATTACGAAATATAAACTATCGTTTGCAAATCATTGAGTAGTGACCGGGTTCTAATTCTTTTTGCAATAATCTAACACTATTTAACTTGAAATTTTGTTCCAGAAGGTACAAACAAATGCCTGACGAAATGATTAGCTATTATGATTGCACTTGAAGCGTTTCGTAACTGCTAAGTTATAATAAAATCATCACCTGCAAGTTGGTGAGCATCATGATCCAATTCATTTTTTCTTTTTCTCTGGAAGGAAGTTTCAGGTTCAAGCGTGATGACATTTTTCTTAACTTGTTTTCTTGTTCCAACACTTTCATTTTCAACAAATTCTGCATTGCGAATGCATCCACGTAATTTACGGCAGTAATTAAATAAATTGTTTAAAGGTTTCTACAACAAAGATGTGCCATACGAATAAAACTTGTTTACCATCATGTTCCGGCTCCCCGAAGCAACTTTAACGAAGTGAGGATTTTCAACTTGAGCTTTTGAATGTTAATGGTTTGGAAAATTTGTATCGTAAAAAACAAACTTAACCAAAAATATAAATTGTTCAGGATAATTACAACAATATCTTTAATTAAGAAATTCAAAATTATTTTTTACTTTTATTGAAATTTTAATAAAATGTATTAAACCAAATTAATCTTAAAAGTTACCGAACAAGCCAGGATTATTATCAGTGGTTGAATGGGACTGAAATACATCTGTACCGTTTTTCTTCGTAAAGACTTTATCATCATTATCCTTGCGATCCACGTTTGCTGACTCATCAGCTTTCAGATTGTTCAACCTCTCACCACTGAACCGGGACGTTTTTCTTGAAAGTTTGTTGCCCGGTTTGTCATGCTGAACAAAGCGCTCTTCATTGTCGCACTGATTAGCCCATGAGTCATGTTTGTGCTGTTTAAATTGAAATTTTAATAATAAGTTCTTGATTACAAATTTTTTGTTTTTATGTTTAAATTGTCGCAATTAAACATTTTTTAAACTGTCAATGAAAGTGAAATTTCAAGTCCTCCACACAAGACAACGTAAATCCATGTTCAGTTCAGTGAACCTATTGTTTTATTTAAAGTTTTCGATAACCGGAGTGAAAATGAAGTTTTATTATTAATTTTTTAGAGTCACCCAACATTCAAAAATTTTTCAAAAATTACTTCGGCTGGATTCGCATCAGTTACGTCATCGGCGTTGTGAAGACCAGTGCCTGCTGTTTCGCATTCTTCTTCCTTCTCACAATCTTCCATCAAGTTGTAACAAAAAAAATAATTACAAATCGTAAACTGAATGTTCATTCATCGTAAATTGCAAAATGTAACATTTCCAATTTTCCCAATTGGAGAAAATTTGGCAAAGTAAGGTTAGTGAATATTAATTAGCACCAACTTGTGGTGGGCAGCAGGAATTTGATGTCCAAGCGATCGTTGGATGTTGCACTTTCGGCAAAAGAAACGTCCATCAACGCCCCCTCCTCTTTATTATCTTTGCCATGTTTCAATTTATTTAAATTCATTCCACTCATACCATTTCTTCCACTAAACCTATCCGTATTCAAACCATCACCATTTCTAATTGTTGACGTTGAACGTGGATAAATTGCATTGCCTGTTTTGGCAACTTTCATTTTGACTTCCTCACATGTGCGGCTGTCGACAGTCTTCATATTTTCTTCATCTAACACGTTCTTTTTTTCATAAAGTTTTGAAAGTTTGTTCATACTGAATGTTTTTAATCTTTGTTGCCCTTCAACATTCTCGAGTGCACTGAACTTAATCAATTCGTGAACCTCGTCATAAACAGAAGTTAGGCTGTCATTTATTACAGCGCCATCAACTTCATTTTTCACAAAATGTTGGTCTTTGACATTTAAACGTTTCTCAACATCGAAACGTTGTTTGTGGCTATCGCCCGCTGTTCCAAGCGGTTGAAGTTGAGCTGATTTATCTTTATGATAACCATGTAGATAGTGCATTTGCATGCCATGTTCAGCAACATTGAGTTCCTCTCTCCCGCCACATTTCTTAGAATCATTTTCTTCTCCAAGTGCATCACCAACGCTCCAACGTTCGTTGATGGATGTCGCAATATTTTTATAACTCGATGTCGTCATAACTGTTGGTTCATTTCTAATTTCAACATCAATTTCATCCTCACTTTCCATTTTTTTTAAACCTTTTTTCTTTACAAACCCATCATCACTCGTCGATGCTTCGTGCAGAACATTAGATAAACTGGTTGATTTTTCACAAACATCCTGACGATCACTGAGTGGAATGTCGTTCTGAACAATCTGGGAATGCGGCCATCCATCACTCATAATTTCAAAATTCTCCAGTGACTTTGCTTCCATTACATTGCTATGCTTCACAACGCTGTTACGTTCATTTATATAAAATTCCATACTATTATTTGGATACGATTCATTGAAATCGCAGACGTTAAAACCATCAACGCTCTCATAATTTAAACAATCATCATAATGTTGACGCTTGCCTTGAAAACCCAAATCACTTCTTCTCCTTACAAGAGAGTTGTCACGTGCACTATTTAATTTATGCATATTCGTAATTCCGTCTTTTCTTCCAAAAACAACTTCATGGTCCACATCCATCTTATTAATTTCTGGTTGCCACGCTTCATTTGGACTGCCTGCATCATTCTTGAAGCCCCCATTCCCATCATCATCTTCTTCCTCTTCCTCCTCATCAGCATCATCATCATCAAATTTACAACCTTCCGTATCATCATTGTTAACATCTCGCTGACGGTAATCTCCAAACAATGTCTCATCTTTTTTGTTATCCAGTCCGCTGTTGTAACTTGAGCTCCTCTTCTTGGACATTGGCATCTTCCTCGCCGCACCACCGTCGCCACCAACCTCCTCGTAATCAGCCAAGCGATTCACTACATTCAAACTTCCATATTGCGGGTAGCTTCCTTTCCTTGCTGGCAGATGTTTCTCGAAAGCGAAGTTGTTGCTCTTGAACAAGGCCTTCCCAATGTAGGGACTCTCTTCCACCGCTGACGATCCAGATGTACTCTAGTGTATATAGTCGTTCATCATTCGCTTGCCAATGACCATTATCAATCATTTAATCATGTAATGTGTAATGCATGCGTGTTGTGTGTGCAAATAAATAAGTATAAACATATTCATTCAAATCTAATACAAGTTTTAAAAAATTGACCATATGATTCTGTTGAGTCTTTGTTAATAAAATACTACCCGACCAAATATTTTCTTAAAATTAATTATTAAACTAGACTGAAAAAATTGTAACTTTACCATTCCCCTGCCATCTACCAAATAAAATTAAAAATGTCAACCACAAAACTAATGTATTGATCTACAAAAACAAACGGTGGCTGGAGTGACGAAGCCATCCTGCTGCTGTTGGTTTGCAAGACTATCAAACTTGTGGTCGATCTTGTAGAATGCTAGCTCCTGCTCCAATTCGTAGTGCTTCCTGCAGGCGTTGGCCAACTCTTTCGTCTTCTGTTTCAACTGATGGTCATAAGTTTAGTCAGCTGTTTGATTGTCAGTTCTTTCATCGACATTTATTTTATTTTTCAAATTTTTTAGTGGATTTCAGTTAGATTTTTTTAGTTTCAAATTAATATCGTTATGAAGTGGTCTATAGAAATAAAAAATATTAAACAACAGCTACAGCTAAATTATAATAAACTTTTAATTTGAGTAGTTATATTAATTACACAGACCAATTTATTTTTCGTTTCCAACTCTTTGCCTCTTTCGTTCATTTCATTCTCCATTTTTTTGATTTTATCTTCCATGAGTTTTTGTCTCTTCATTTTATGTTCTGCATCTTGTTGTGCAAACTTCTGAGATTCAGTGAGGTTGAGGCATTCAGTCTCCTTCATCAACACTAACGTGGAGAGTCTGTCTATCTCTTCTGCATTATCACAAATCACGCATACATGTACTTATATTAATTCAATTTTTTTACATCGCCACGTCAATAAACCTCTTTCAGCAACAGCCTCACATTTTTACTTTTTATTACTTTTTGAATAAACATTTAAAAAAATTGAAAAAAATGAAAATTACACACGAACCATCTATAAATTAAAAAATTTTTATAATAGAATTTTATTTAGAACGTAGATACCCTGTCCGAATCTCTGTTGAGACGACGTCCTTTCATCCTCACTGACCTCGCAGCCATCCAGCCATTCAACTGTCCTCAGATGATACAACAAGAAGAGACGATACGTCGATATGTCTGTGAACGGGTTGCCTGACACTTTCAACGTCGTCAAGTGTATTGAATCACGAAATTTCACAAATTCTGTCATCTGCTCAATAGGGATGATGGACAAGTGATTTTCTACGCGTTGAATAAAGATATTGAAATTAAGTAACAATTGTGATAACAATTTTTAAAACTTCGTACAAATTTGTATAACAAAATTTTCAGAATAAACAAAAATATATGTCAACTAACATCAGCAATGTTATTTTCGGCGACGTTGAAACTTCTCAGCTGGATTAATTTTGTAGGTAGCCAGGACGGAATAGTTTTTATTTTGTTGTGAGACAAGTCCAAGACTTGTAGATTGGTCAGTGGTTGAAGGTTTTCTATTCTGGTCAGACAGTTATCAGAAATGTTTAGTTCTTTTAAGCGAGTCAGATGGGACAGCCGATCAATTTTTTCAATATTATTTTTGCTGAGGTTTAAATTTTCCAGACGTTTTAATTTTTCTAAGTTTTCAATGTACTGCAATGAAATACACACTTTTATTGACATTTTTATCTATCAGCGTTATATATCATGTTCAAAATATAAAAAAGTAAAATATTTGAGCAAACAATATGAAACAATGTTGAATACTTTGAATTTTCCTCCAGGCTTTGCTAATGTCAAATTCAATGTCGTCACGTATTCTAAAGATATGGTTCCAACAAGTTTCTTCAGAAGATCTTCAGTTATGTAACGAACACCTACATAGTCTGGGAACAAATTAAAGAGTAAATTTGAGATTAAATTATAACAAATTTGAAGAAAAACATGAAAATAAAATTACCTTTCTTAGACATTTTTAAATAAAAGCCAGGAACCTCAATAGTTTACGATGAAAAGCAATTTTCAATTTTTTTTGGCATAAAATTAGACCTAAAAAGTATTATTATGATATAAGAAATAATGGTTTAATGAACGTATGGCATGAATAAAAACAATAACAATAAATTTGTAATAGATGGAAACATTTTTCATGATTTTAAAAATAAATTAAAATTTAAAACAGTTTCTATTCTATTATTTATTCTGATTCATTCATTAAATTTTTAAATTAAAACATAAAAAAAAGTTAAAAAATTTAGTATTGTGTTATTGCAAAAAATTGCTGTAAAAAGCAGACACATTTAATGAAAGGAATCTCAATTTTTTTATTTATAAATTTAATCATAACAAAACACGCAATGAATGAAAGTTTTCGGCTGACGTTGCTTCAGATAGAAGTGTGTAAATTTAGTTCTAACCTGTTGCCATGGAGACAATTGTTCACCTTAACAGTGTGCTGTATAAAATATCATGAAGCGCTTGATTCACATTCAACAAATAGACCACTGAACATATCTAAATATATATAATTATATATTTAAATTTTTACAGCGTTCAACGGCATTTTTTAAAAGACAACACACATAAAAACAAACACGCAAATGACTTACCGTAGACTCGGTCTAGAGGAGTTTCTTTAATATTTGCAATCGAACGTTCAAAATTCAAAATTATTTTATTTAGCAAGGAGAGGTTGAAGTTCTAAGGAACTTGTATGGCCAGCCAGAAATATAAAAGTGGAAAAATTATACATTGAATGGTACAAAAATAATAGTATATTTACATGAATTTTATTTATAAATGGTTAAAATTTTAACCACAGAACATGTAGTTCAAATAGGAACGCAAAGCTTCTGTTTTTGATAGTGAATGTAGGGCGTACGACAAATAAAATACCTCTTCAAGCATTCTATATTTTTATTAAAAACGTATAAAAGTTTCTTTGGATGAGCGAACTGTTTGTGGAACATGGTTGCGTGATTTGAATCGGACCAATCCAAGTGCACGAGCCAGTGAAAAACATTTTCATTCAATGTTATTGCTTTGTAAAACTGTTGGAATAACAACCTCTAAAAAGATGCATTGCTTTAGAAACATGTGAATAAATTTGTAAGCTTTTTTGAAATATTTGTGAGATGAGAAAGCGATTTCCCCGTGTTTCCATACATCTATATTTCTCTTCTTGTTACATTTTGTAATTTTCAAGAGCTAATTTCAAATCAGGATGTGTTTCGCCAAGTTCGCTCCAATCGCAAAATATGCGGCACAAACCTCTACGGTACTTGCCCCACCAAATCCACGTCACTGTATCAGAGTAATTAGTAAGAGACGAACACTGCTTCATCAATTTTAAATTGCCTAAAATACCTATTGACCTGATTTTGTTGTTTGTAGTCGGTACTTCAATAAGTTCACTTTGGATGAAAGCATCTTCAACTATCAAAATTATACCATCCAAGTCATATCCCATGCTGATGGCTTTCAAGATGCATTGGTAGTTGAAAGCAGCAGCGATGTGGTCCTCTGGTTGATTGTAAATAACAAAACTCAATCTGTATAGTAACGTAAGGTCTTGCTTCAACATTTCACGTCCAAAATAAAGAATGTATGGATAAATTGATTTGTGGATAGCATGGATATATATATCCATGGTGGATAGACTCCAACAGTTGAATGATTTCAGGATGAAGACGATTTAAAAACAACAAGGTTATTAATAGTTTTAAATTTTTCTAAAATTAAAAGTAACGTAACAAGTCTGAACGTGTGCGTGTGTGTGTGTGCGTGCGCGTGTGTGTAGTCAAATAGTATAAATAACTAATTTTTGTGTGGTAGTTTTGAAACATTAGGCAAAGTTATTTTAAGAACGATTTTTTTCCTTCTTTATTCTTTTAAAATAAAGGTCATTTGATAAATTATCAAACCTGAAAATATTTAAATTTTAACTGGGATAAATTGATAAGAAAGAGATAAGCAAGCCACTAATAGCATAGATAGATTAATGATTGAATTAAGCAATAATTTTCCGTTAAAAAAACGCAGAAGAATTAAAGACCAAAATTTAAGACAAAAATAATCAAACAACAACAAATAGCTACACATACACTGATGTTATGTGAGACATGCTTATAACATAAAATTAACAAAGCAAACCAACTAACGAAAACAAACACACATAAATCTGATCAACACATAAAACACATTAAGCTTATGTGAAGTTGGTTAAGTGCATTTGAGAATGCAATTTACTTTGTAATCCTTATAAGCACTGCTCAAACGCAACTTGTGAAAATGTATCTACATTACATAGTCGGGACTGAAAAATTTTTTTTACTTTTTGTTTATAATAGAGGAAGAAACAAACTCGGTTAACGGACGATTAGTTGAAGAAAAAGAATTGCGTACAACTTCACTTGATTGAGTGTTCACCGCATGTTAATTTTGAAATGATGAAGAACAGCAGAAATAATGTACAAATGATTGGTAATGCCGTCTATTTACCTTACCATATCATTAAAACACTTTGTACTTTCTTTTAAACGCAAAGTTTACAGTGTTTTAATATATTTCACGTCATTATGTAAAAAACTATTCAAGTTTAGTAAAACCCTTCGTTTCACTTGATTATAATAATTGATAATTAATGAAATCATCTTATGAACGTGTATGATATTTTTAAGAAATCTTCAACATTTACGTCCTGCAGTCATTCTAATGTTATTTCAGATGTTTATCTTCTCTTCCCACCTTCTCCTTCCAACAATTCCCAACAATTTTTTGCAGAACTCCATTTCAAACTCTCCCGACACGTCTTAGTCTCATTTTTTCATTAAGGAGCACAGAGCTTATCATTTTAAAATTTGTTTTTGTGCATGTATTAATTACCTTGTTTTCAAATTTTTGTGCAATATAGTTGTTTATTATACTCTCCTTTTAAGACTCTGTCAACAGTTTAAAAACATTGGACGGGTTGTTTCGAAAAGTATACGATGGATTATGTTGGTATATTATCATTTCAAGTGTAAATTTATTTCCCTATTTAATTTCCAATTTAACTGATTTTCAACTGAATTCATTTTGAATTGAAAAAAGTAGAATGATTATTAAAGCTTTCCAGAACGACAATTCGTAATTGTAATCATGTAGCCGACGTCCAGCGATGAAACGCAAATTTTAAAAAATGCAGTACAATACGCATCACTTACACAAACAATCACAAAAACGAAAACCCTACTACGCCACGCACACGCACTAACCATTGTAAATAAGAGCACGCACTGTGAGATATTACGCAGTTTCAACGTCTGCATGCTTGCATGTTTTATTGTTATTCTGAATGGAGATCTCAACAAATATTTTCGAGCATGTTCTTTGGAGTACCACCGCCGAATTTCTTTTATGGCTTCTTTCATAATTTGTTCAACGTGGATGTATGCATTTGAGAAAACATTAATAACCCTGGCCTCAAGAGTTATGCCTCTTTCTACACGGTTGAATCTTGTGCCGCACGTGCAGTTCGCCATGTCGTCGACTCTTCATTGCAGTTTGTTCAGTACCATTCAACTGCTGTCAGCCGATCAGTTAAATATCTATAAAAAAATATTAGCAAGATATTGCAAAACTAGGATTAACATTTTAACTATTTTCTAATTATCACAAAAATTCATTTGCTTAATATTTATAATTTGTATTTAACATTTTTTTAAATTAACATTACGTGAAAATTTGTTATTATTGAAATAATTTGCTGCTTGTCCCAAAATATTTACAACTTTTTTTAGCAAACTTAAATTTTGTGGACGTATGTTAAGTTTTCATTAATTCAACATTTTTTACAAAACGAAAGTTGATTAAAGCTGCACTTAGGTTAAAAATCTTTATAAAATTAGAGTTAGATGTTAAAAATGTAATTTTAGAATATTCGAGCATAAGTTTCACTTGTTTCAATGGTCATGCGTGCAACTCCATCATTCCAACAGCAGCAACAACAACAACATTCCAAAATGGAAAGCATTTAACTGGAGCATAAACTTTCATAAACGTTTAAACGTTTTCGTGCATCAGCAAACATCATATATTTCCATGGCTATTTTCGCTCTGCTTCATCATGTACTGTACATACATACTTCATTATAAGACAATTTTCCACATAACCGCATAAATAAAAAATGGTATAACATTTTTGGGGTGAGACAATTCCATTTATTGACAATTTTCGCCACTGTTATAACTGAATAAAAAGTATCGCATATTCAATTTGCATGCACAAAAATATCAAACAACAACAAACAGCCAAATAGCGATATTGATGAATATTAACGTTGACAAGCCAAACGTGGGAATGGAAGAACATCCATCGCTTGTGCAATATGCGGTGTAATAATAATAGCAGAATGTAATGCTTTGTTGTCAGGTTGTATTGACCAGCATGTGCGTGCGAAATAAGTTGCTTCATAGATACAAACATTCGATCGCATGTACCTACTTGATAACGAATAACCGTCAACATCTAAACTCTTATTAACAGTAACAAAAGTTGAAATGCCTCAGGGAAAATATTGAAAATTTTCAATAATAATTAAAATGAATATACTAATAATTATAACCTGGAACTGAATATTATTGTTAAATTCGTGACTTGATATTTTTGGAACAATTTGAAAATACAACTTCTGAAATTCAATTACAAGATGGCTTTTTACGTACCTTATAGCCAAGAACAAAATCATCATGATAAACATAATCATCGTGATGAACGAAATCATTTTGATATTTGTTCAGCGCCTATTGTCTCGAATTATTCTAAATTATTTGTTTTTTTTTATTCATTTGTTTGCGTTGGCTTATGTCTGGAGCATTCTGAAGAACACTCACTCATTCATTCATTAATTAATACAAGGAGAGCTGCTCAAACATCATGTGGTCTACAAGTGTCCAACAATCAACTAACCAACCAAACAACCAATCAGCTGACCTGCTGACCAGCAAGTCAGCCAATCAATCAATCAATCAATCAATCAATCAATCAATCAATCAATCAATCAATCAATCAATCAATCAATCAATCAATCAATCAATCAATCAATCAATCAATCAATCAATCAATCAATCAATCAATCAATCAATCAATCAATCAATCAATCAATCAATCAATCAATCAATCAATCAATCAATCAATCAATCAATCAATCAATCAATCAATCAATCAATCAATCAATCAATCAATCAATCAATCAATCAATCAATCAATCAATCAATCAATCAATCAATCAATCAATCAATCAATCAACCAATCAATCAATCAATCAATCAATCAATCAATCAATCGATCAATCAATCAATCAATCAATCATTCAATCATTCAACAAGTTAACCAATTAATCAATGATCAACCAGCTAATCAGCCAATCAGTCAACCAATTAATAAGCCAATCAGTCAACCAATTAACCAGCCAATCAGTCAACCAATTAATAAGCCAATCAGTCAACCAATTAACCAGCCAATCAGTCAACCAATTAACCAACCAATTAACCAACCAATTAACCAGCCAATAAACAAACCAATCGACCAACCAAGCTAAGAGTAAACTGCTCTACATGATGATAAATACGCTTTTCTTTCATCTGAACATTCTGCAAGTGCTGTACCCTAGTTATTTACATTCTACTTTTTTTCTTTAACGATTTTTTTTATGAAAATCTGAAAATCAAATTGATAAACGAAGCATTTCGTTTTGAACGTTGCTTTTGAAAAGATTTACTTACGTATATAGTATATTGGTTTGTTTATATATTGATGGCAACAATTCGGTAGAATTCATATACAATGCTGTACTGAGCTATTTATAACGTTATTTATTGTAAATAATAATTCTCATTCGGTAAAGTCAAAATGGAATCGTCGATGCGGTCTATAGGCAGGACTCCTGTGTTCATACGCAGTCTATCGGCGTGTTCACTGGCTCACCTGCATTGGTAAATCAATTGTTAATAAGAGGGTAGGTAGGCTGTTTTTAGAAGTCACGTTGGTTAACACGATTTTTCAAGCCGTGTGTGCATGTCTTCGTTTGCCACTTCAGAAGTTGACTGTACCGATATAAAAATTATTAAACGGATGTAAAAAAATTTGTTTCTTTTAATTCACTGGCCATAAATAACGTACATTTTTCTTATCACCGGCGGAAATTGGAGTAGTAGTTAAGGCAGCTGGTCCTGCTGCTGCAATGACCGGGTTCAAATGCGAACTGGATCTCTGCCCATCAAGAGCGATCTGTGTGATGCCTACGTGGATCCACACTCATTCACATGCGCTGTCTCTATGTATGTTGATGCACTTCTGAAAACTAATTAAAAGAGAAATAATAATTATATTAATTTTAATTATATTATTATAACACTAATATGTATTTATTATATAATATTATATGCATGTATAATTGTAAATACTTGATCTGATATGTTTTAGTGAACGTTTTTAAACAATCAGCGAACGCAATTAAAAAATTAATATAAAGTGTCAATCTTAATAACAGAGAAATGAACGTAGCAAATAAGGGATAGCTGGAGTGAGCAGGATTCACCCTG